TAATAAAGTTATGACATACATTTCGATGGTTAATTAGCAAATTATCACTGTTATGGTTTGCTTTCGGTGTTGGTTTTATACTCAACTACACAGTGAAAAGTTTGGCTCGGCTAGGTTCTTTTGATCAGTGCAGATTATTGACCTTGCATGCGTATTCAATAAAATATGCTCCGCACAAAAAGCATGCAAAATTTACTTCTTACGTTTGATTTCAATATTAGTTCAATTGAAGTTGCTTTTGTTCAATACTGTGACATATTTAGGCCCATGAATAATTTTTCATTTTATACTCACTTTCAAAATACCCTTGATGGATTTTTTTTATTTTTTAATTAATATTAAGTTATGAAAAGAGTTATTGATACTTATTTATCAATTTTGTTTTGATAATTTAAATTTAATAGTAACTCTTTGTGTTTTTTCTCTCTCTCCTTTAGAATCTCATCAATAAGAATAACCTTAAAAAATTTCATTAATTTGATATAAATTTAACGAGTTAATTCTTACTGCTTAATTCGTGTGAATTAATAAAAAATAGCCTACATTTAATAGTTGGAATGATTGGGTAGCTTCAAACAGGGGAGCACATTAAATATTAGTTTGCACTTTATTTCCAACTAATTTAGATTGTTTGATTTAATTTTTTATTTTAACATATAAATAATTTAAAATAAGGACAATATAACTAATATTTTTTCAAAAAATAAATATAAATTTGAATATTTAAAATCAAAGTTCAAATAGTTTACATTTCATCGCAAAGGTTTGTGATAAACATTTGACGAGCATGCTTTTGAAGAAGGAAAGATATGGATGGTTCCTTGCAAATGATGCCACCACCATTAAAAAGTCAAAGATTTCGATTAAGATATTCTGTGAGGAAAACGAGAGCCAAAGCTTGACAAGCAGATTCTAGGGTGCCATAGAGAGCTTGTGCGCGACCAAAATGCACAATGCTACCAATATAGTGACTTAAGAGGTTCAGAAGATGTTGTCCTACAAGAATGAGATGGGATGGGCTCTTCTCTACAAAGGGACGACACTACGACAGTTTTGGTCACGGCACCACTATTCTTAAGATTGTGGCTGAGTTCGGCAAATGAAAGGAATTGGTGGTGAAGAAGGGATTTGCGTTAGCGCTGCACGACGACTTTAAACGAATTAAGGGCTTCAAGTTCATCAAGGAGGAATGGCAATCCAAGAAGAAACCTACGCTTGTAGTGATGAACCCTCAAGGCAAGCTTGTGCATCACAATGCATACTACTTGATTCAGGTTTGGAGTTTATAGGCCTTCCCTTTCACCGCCAAAGAAGAAGAAGGCTCATCTACGGAGCAAGTTGGGTAGTCTCCCTCTCCCAAGGTCATCCAAAGACAATGCATCGGTAAGCATGTTTTCTAATTTGCATCAGTTTGCTACGTATACAATAAATACATAACAAATAGCAACCTTAGGTTCTAGTCTTCAACTTTTTTGCTGTCAAGTCATAGACATGACAAGTGAGCATTTTTAAGGATCAACAACACATAATTAACTGCATTAAAGAAAAGGTTATGTTTTGATTGGTCAGCCTAAGGCGAAACAGGCCCTAGATCATCCCCTTCCAAACTGACCAATGCCTGAAATTCGCTGTTAGCCTCCAGCCACCTTGTCCCAGTAACAACAAAGCGAACCACAACACCTTGTCCAATAATCTTGGACATTTCATCATTCCAGAAGTGTGGGTTTTCACCGGCAACATAACGGTAGTCAGGCATCTTCAACTTTGAGAGAAACAGAGTCTCAACGGGTCCACACTTAACATCACCCCCTTCCTCGCAAACCCCCAGACTACACCCTCCAAGATCTCTCCCCCACACATCTTGAAAGTAAGAGCTCTGAAAACACATGCCCACTTTGCTGTAACACTTTTCCTTCTCCTATCCACTCTAGTGTGGTCACACCAAGATAGTACCTCAGATGTTGAGTTGCCTTTTCACAGCAAAGTTATCCAGAAGGCGGATCATAATTGACTCTTGAAGATCCAGACCGCCCGCGTCTAGGCTTTCTGGGAAAAGTATGACATTCCAGGCCAACCTCACTTTGAGAAGCATTGTTTTCTTTGTTCCTTCGCCCTTTTCTTTCCTTCAATCACAGCATAAAAAGATATTCCAAAGTCAGATTGCATGCTCTCTATTATTTTCCAACTTCTAAGGTCCAAATATTCATCATATTTATCAATCAATCTGGAGAAATAATAAAATTATCGGACGGCTTGGTTATAACAGACTAATACCATCAGATTTAGTAGACGATGTTGAAAAGTTCTTACTTTACAAATTATTGAACTATATTATACATGTTGACCTTCATCGTCCATGACTTCCCAGTAGGCTCATTATATATGACACTACTTTTAGAAGAAATAAGCACAACATGCATTAGAAAAACTACCAAGTTAATTTCACATTAAATTGTCCACCAATGATGCACATTGAAGCTAAAAACAGTGATATAGGCATCCCATATAAAAACAGTGAAATTGTCCGCCAAGGAAGACGGTGAAGAGAGAGATCGGGGGAGGGAGAGAGAGAGAGTGAAGCTCGGCAGGAAACCATGGAAGCGAACCAAAAACACAAAGATCTGCGAAGCGAGAAGGAAGAAGATTTGGGGTCACATAGGAGTTTTCTAGGCAGGAAAATCAGATCCTACCTAAATGTGAGGGAACAGATTTTCCACTAAACACGGGAAAATCCCAAGCCGCCGGAGAGTACTCTCCTAAAAAATGTTGCAACACATTGTGAAGGAAAATATCTTCCTTTCCCATCAGTATATTTTTCAGGCAACAAAAGGGGCCCTTAGTTGGCGAAATTTTAGCAGGGAAATGCAAAACAGCCCCCTTTATTGAGAAGTAATAGCCAAGGGAAACATGGATAATAGAATTCCGATCTTTAATATAAGACATATTTAACAAATTTGATTAGATTAAAAAAATTAGATAAGTTAGTTAATTATAAAAAATATGACATGAAAACACTATAATTATTTTTCTTAATATCCTTATTCCTTCATTTACTTGATTATGGTTGAGGGAAGATCCATACCGATAATTTAGAAAAAATTGATAAATATAATAAATAAGTTTTATATTCAAGATCAAAATCAACTCAATGATTAGGTCCTATATTAAGTAGCATCTATCATTGAAATGTTGGATGAAAAAAGAGATTTAGGCGTATAAATCCGAACCTTAACCGAAAAAACTTCGCCCCAAGCCCTTCCGCAGTTGTTCTTGCTTCTCTTCAACTCTCAGTCGCCGGCTACAGGTGTTGCACCCAGAACCGTCGCTCACGCTCACTCCATGCAAGCTGATCCATGCGCTAAAACATGAGCTGATCGGTTTAAAACTTGAACTTGAACCCATGTAATTGACAACATTGCCCCCGGAAGAATTTATTGAGGTAGAAATACTGTTCCATTTTTTTCACCATATTAAAAAAGTGGATTTAACCTTTTTTTTTGGCCATCAAGTGGATTTTAAAAGTATTAATAATGATTAGAGTTACTTAACGAATAAATAATGAGCTAAATGTCCATGCGAGTTTAAATATTTTTTTTTAAAAATATGTATTTAACAATATTTTAGATATTGAAAAGTTATTTCCTGGATATATTTCTTTCTTCATATTCAGGTTAATAAAAATTACTCCTCTGATTTTATTTATACGACACTAAGAGAAATATTTTGTATGGATGTACAATTTTATTCTTAATTTATTATTATGTTAACTTTATTTACATAGGGTATAGTGTATATTAAATATGCATAAAATTAAAAAGTTGTTGAATTTTAAATGAAAATTAATAAAGTTTAATGTTTTTTTTTTGTATAAAACATATTTGAAGTGACTTATAAATAGGGTTAGAAAAGTACATAAGTTCTTAACATCATGTAGGCAGATTATTTGTTGGGAGAGAGGGGATCGGTGAGCATCTCTAATGCCAGACTTGTGGTCGTATTCTGATTTCCCAGAAAGAGATGATTTTGGTGTGGTGAGGGACACAGGAGATCTCGACGAAGCTTTAGAATGAAAGAAAGGGTCAAAGATTCATCCGCGCGTTCCCTCATTCCTGACATTTTCAGTCCTTTCTTCCATATAAGGCTTCTGTTTCTGTATATCTTTGCCCCAAAGCCCAACAAAAACACAAGAAAGAAAACCTTCCTCTTTCTGATCAGTGCACGTCGTTTTATTTTTGATTATTTTCCCTTATCCTTCCTCTTTCTCTTTTTTGTGTCAGACGTAGCCGCGACCCATTTTTGCCATTCTCATCAAGACTGTCCTTTTTAAATTTTTGCGGATATAAATAAATAATACGTCTCAATCAATATTAATTAATTCAAACATAAATTAATATCAATATTTATCTTTCAGGAATTAATATCAACATTAATATATTAAATTGTATTATTTATGATTTATGAATACCGTAATCTATAAATTTTGTTATAGTAGTATATTAATATTAATATATAGTATAAAATTCAAAACAAATTATACTGTAAGATTTTGTACGTGAGAATGGGTTAGGTGTGTGTGTGTAATTCTCCTATGCTATTTTCCTCCATTATTCATAAATTTATAAAAGTTTAAACCCTTAAATTTGTTACTTGTTAATTGTGATGCTTTAAATCTAATTGGGCGTCCACTTTGGGCCCCTATTTGATCCCTCGAGGATTGTTGGGACATAAATTGTTCCCGGCCTCATTATGTTGGATGTCCGAGTTGCTGCCCAATTTTTCAAACCTTTTCTTAGGAAACATAATTTAAGATCTCCAAAACCATCTCGGCGGTGGAAACCTCACATACATGATCTGTGAATGATTTGATTTATTATAAATATCATCATATGCTTTTGATTGTTTGATTCATATCGTTTATAAAACCAATCAATATTTATATAAAAAAAAATCAAATGAGATGTTTAGCAGCAGTTGTTCATCGAGAAAGATGGTAAGAGGAACAACACGAACGTACGGACCATAATTATGGTTCAAAGGCTTCTTAATCAGTGCATATAGACAAGACAGAAGACAATCCCGCTACCTGGTCAGTACTAATCTAGACAACAAATACACAACAAGGGGCAAGCTCAGCTTCTAGTCTTCAATTGTTTGCTAACAAATTATGGACATAACAAGAGGGCTCTTTTAAGGTTCAACACCGCATAACTAAGCACTAACTACATACCCCCGGGGGGGGGGGGACGTTATGTTTTGATTGGACAGCCTAACAACAAAAACCAAGAAACCTTTTACGTAGTGTTGTGTTTTGTCCACATGGCTAAATTTCAGAAGAAACGGGCCCTAGATAATCCCCTTCCAAACTGACCAGTGCCTGAAATTCCCTCTGTGCCTCCAGCCACTTTGTCCCAATAACAACAACGCGAACCACAACATCTTTTCCAATCTTGGACATTTTATCATTCAAGAAGTAAGGGTTTTCACCGGGGACATAGCGGTAGTCAGGCATCTTCACATTTGAGAGATACAGACTCTCAACAGGTCCGCACCTCAAGAAAACCCCGTGCTTCAAAACCTTGTGGACTACACCCTGCAAGATCTCTCCCTTGCAGATCTTGAAAGTAAGAGCACTAAAAACAACAGGAAAAAGCACATCCCCAGTATGCTGCCTCACTTTTCCTTCTCCTATCCTCTCCAGTGTGGTCACAGCAAGATAGTACCCCAGATCTTTAGTTGCCTTTTTCACAGCAAAGTCATCCAGAAGGCGGATGATTATTGACCGTTGGAGCATCAGACCACCTTTTTCTAGGCTTTCTGGGGAAAGTATGACATTCCAAGGCAGCTGCGCTTTGAGAAACATTGTTTTCTTTGTTTCTCCGTCCTTTCCTTCAATCATAAAATGATATTCCAAAGTCAGATTGCACACTTCTACTAGTTTTCAAATTCTAAGGTCCAAACATTCATCATATTTATCAATCAATTAGGGTAAATAAGAAAATTAAACAGCTTGATTATAAGAGACTAATATCATCAAATTTACTAGACGACGTTGGAAAGTTCCTACTCTACCAATTATTGAACTATATTATACATGTTGACATTCACCGTCCATGATTTCCCAATGGGCTCACTATATATGACAAATAAGCACGACACACATTAGGAAAACTGCCCCTCTGTTGGGCCTGCAATATTTTATTTTGAATTAGTCAGTAATATCAATTATAAAGGACAAATAAAACTTTAAGCTCATATACTTAAATAACACCTTTTCCAATCAAATCAAAACAAGCGGATTTTAAATTATAAAAGGAGAAAAATGTTAATAACAAGAGTTGGTTACCGGTAAATCAAGGATTCAAACAATACAAATTTCCCAATGTGATCCGACAAAGTGCATCAATTACATAGACTTGAGCATCCAAGATTTTTCCTTATACATAAAGAAGTAAATGAACTCAACTTTTTGACAACATCATGTTTATTTCAAATGAAATTATCCGCCAATGATCTAAATTGTAGATTAAAACAGTGATATAGGCATTTCATATAACTAGCAGTTACTTAAATTGCCTGATTCAATAACTATATCAAAATCACATTCAGTTTCCGTATCTGCCATTAAAATAGTGATAAACTCTTTCCCAAGACAAAGATGTAGAAAGTCTTCACTCAACACATCAGCAGCTGGAGTCTCAATCTCTAAACAGTCAGCATTGAACAAATGGCTAGCAGATCAAGGAAGCATAAATAACAGTAATAATTCATTGAAGTGATACAAAAATAGAAAAGGTTTGTTCAAGATTAGACATATTTCTGAGATATAGGGAAAAAAGGGAAAAAACTAAAGAGAATGAAGTTGCAGAGTTATAATGAGTCCTGTTACACTATTTCCTCTGCAACTTCCTAATCACGCTAGCAAAGTTGTGGCTCCCTCCAAAACGAAAGTGTCAGTGTACTCACAGTACTTAATTTTATAAACACTGTTAAGTTTTTAAAGAACAAAAACAGATTAACCTACCAACACAGCCGCTAACAGCAATGTTGATATGGTAAAGATGTGGGTACAAGACGTAGAGGCTATTTAAAAATTCCTACATCATCACTTGATACAAAGTCATTGCAGGATGACAAAGATGGCAGACAGGCAAAGGAAAGAAAAAATTTTTAGGAGGGAGAGTGGATAGAGGTAAGCTTACACCAATACAGGCAACAATCCTCAGCGGCAAATGGTATTACCAGTGGTACCTCAAATTGTAAAATTGGCTTATGAATTCCCCCTGCATTAGGTGATAACTAGTCGTCACCTCTCAGTATAACCTTTAAATTATTTCTATAACTATAATTTTCTTTACCAAAGCAAATAATGAACACATTTCTAACTAGAACTCGTATAATTTTCTTTTCCAAATACATACATTGCTCATAAAATATCAATAGCTGAAATTAAGCATATTATAGTGAAATGTTAGAATTACTTGATTGTAAAAGTTTGCTCAATGATTTTGCAGCACAAAAAGCGACAAGAATGATATGAGAATGTAATCCCCTCCAATGATTTCGGCTAATGCCCGAAATTTCTAGACTACACCACCCTTTACGAAGGAACTATTTAGTTGGGCGAAATTTTAGCAGGGAAATGGATAACGGCTCCTTCCCACCCGCTCGGTCGTTTGGTTGCACAAAGGGAGAGAAAAGTGCAGCAGCTAGGGAAGAACACTTCCCTAAAAGGGAGGAGGGATGCTTCCTGCAGGGGGTGGGGAGAGCTGGGTCCAGGAAGAGGAAGATATTTATTTGCATGCATTGATGAAGAGAACTGAAACATTTTCAACATTTCCATGTGCTGAAATATTATTTGCAAAGAAGCACAACAGATTAGCACAGTCGACATCAGTACATTCAAACCAAAATCTTTGCTCCAAACAAAAGTAGTAGCCAAAGCGAACAACTATAATCGCATCATTGAAAGGTTGGATGGACAGAGAGATTTAGGCGAATAAATCCGAACCTTAACAGCAAAAACTTCGGCCCTACCCCTCCGTAGTCGTTGTTGCCCAAATATTGGCCCTCGCCCCCGATTTTCTCTCACCTCCGTCACCGTCGGCAACAATCCCCTCTTCTCTTCAACGCCCCGTCCACGTGATGCCCCCCAGAACCGTCGCTCCGGCTCATTCGACGAAACCTAATTCATCCGGTAGTAAAATGTGACTGATCGATTTTAAATGTGGACCTAAATACTGCCTTTATTTTGATTATATTTATTTTTTTTTAAAACAATTCATGTTAATACTGGTGAATACAAAAATATTTTAGAAAAGATAACTTATAAATAACAAATTTAATTAATTTTTTAATATATTTAAATTAGTCAACAAACTCTTATACTAAGAACAGGAGATAATATTTAATAACATTGCCCGGATTTATAAAGATATAAATATTGTTCCAATTTTTTCATTTTTTTTCCACCCAATTTTTTCACTATATTAAAACAAGTGGATTTAACATTTAAAAATAACTTAAAAAGTATTAATATTAAGAAGAGTTGCTTAGCGAATAAATAATGGATTAAAAAATCTATTTGTTTTGATTTATAAAATAATTGAAAGTTATTTTTTAATATATCATCAAGGTTAACATGTTCACAAATTTAGGTAACTACTTCGAATTTGGGGGCAGAAGGACTCTGACTTGTGAGTTGTGAGGAAGAAGAGACGCAGGGTGAGAGGAGGGGGGATTGACAGAGATCATGTTGATGCGCCTGAAATTTTTTTTTTTTTTTACCTGAAGTTGATGCGCCTGAAATTAAAGCTTCCACAATCCACAAGTATTTGGGCTCAAAGACGATGTAATGACGAGTGAGGATTTATAACAAATTAATAACTAAAAAGGCAACTGTGTCAACTTAAGGAAGTCAATGAAAAAGAGCACGCTATAGTACTTATCCCTCAATGGTTTCGTTGTTTGATCTTCACCGGTACTGGGGACTTTTCCCTAATTTTTTTTCAACCTAAGAGAGCGAATTAAAATTTGAGATAAATTTTAGTCAGCATTTAATGTATCTTTTAAAGAAATAGAGGCTAACATAATTTTTAGTCTATAAAATTTAAACCTATTTTAATTTTGATTACTCAAATTTTAAACTTATGATTTTGGTTCTTAAAATTTAGTCTGTCTTAAGACATTAGTTCTTAAAAACATAATGGTATTAAAATCTGTTTAAATATTAAAAACAGCATTAACATAATGTGGATTTACCAAATAACACCTAATTGAATCTTGTGTGAACAAGAGAAAAAAATAACATGTTCTCAAAATGCAACGCAGAAAAGAATTATATGAAGGGGGTGAATTTTCAAAACACAATGTATAATGAACAACTCCTAAAAAGAATAATGAGGAAATAAAAAGGCCTATATTGTTAGGTTTTGAGAATCTATTCTTTTTTTTTTTTACTATCCACATGAGATCTAGTTAAGTGCTATTTGATGAGTTCATTTTATTACTTTAACGTCATTCACGACATTTCAACATATTTTAATATTTATACGTCTCTAGAGACCAATGTTTTAAGACGAACTAAATTTTAAAGATTAAAATCAAGATAAACCCAAATTTCAGACACTAAAAATTTTATTAATCCAAGCAAAAAACAGTACAACGAATGTCCCAACAGATTGTGATGACATTAATTTAAAAAGAACACTACATTGACTGTTACTTTAAAAAAATCAATATTTAGATCGAGTTTTTTTTATATTTTTATGTGGTAAAGTTTTTCAATCACGCAGTACATGCTTTATATAAGAAATTTAACTTAACTTTTATCTTTTTATTTATTAGTTTAAACCGTTTTAATTAAAGTAGCGTTTGACATCAATTGACAATATAAAATTCCAGTCAATTGGAGATGTTCAGCCGTCAAAGCTCTCGCAACGACCCATTTGTTTTGTCTTTCGTGAAGGGTCATTTTGCCATTTCGGTTGGCGCTCGAAAGTTGAAACCAAAAGTATTGTTTGGTACGAGAAAATAGCGGGAGAAACGAGAAAAAAAATTTAATGAGTTTTATTTAAAAAATTAGAGAAGTGAGGTTTTAAAATTTTAATTAAAAAAATATAAAATAGTAATACAAATTAATTAAAAAATTTTGAACTTATTTTTTACTTTTTTAAATCAAGTTTATTGAAATTTTTTCTTCTCTTCTTTCCTCTCATTTTTCTTCGTATCAAACGAACTCTGAGAGAACTCTCAGTCTGATCCTCCACTTTGAAACATATCTCTTTTTTGCCAGCACGCTTCGAAACGTGTCCCAGCAACAGGTTTTTCAATGACATTTTTCTGGAAGACTCAGATTCAAAATTCTATTGAAAAGACGAAAGCACCAAATCACTTGAATAAATTAATATTAGTTTTATTTTTAATACAATTGTTTGATATCAAAGATCAATGAATTATATTTGACTGTGGGAAAAATCATTTTACATTTATCCATACTTTTTCTCAATTTTTAATTTAGTATATATATTTTTTAAAATACTTAATTTTATTCTCTTAATACTGTTAGTTTCTGTAAAGGAACATGTAAACTAATAATACTAACAAAACAAAACTAAAATAGTTACTATTAAATTAAAATTGAGAAAAAATATAAATACCTACAAATGATTCTTGACTATTATCATCTCCATTTAGAATGACTAAACCAATTAAAGTATGTTTAAAAGTCTGGGTGTGCATGGACATACTCTATAAACTCGAACATCTCACAACAGATTGACAACAAAAAAAATATTATTTGCAGAAATTTAACGATTTAACGAATTAATCATCAAATTTTCCACAACAAAAATTATTTATCCATAATTAAAATTATATAAAAATGACGTGCAATTTAATTATTTTTTACCATGACAAAACATGGCCCGCAACCTACTCTGGCGGCGCAATAAAGAATAGAAAATAGACGAATTTCTTAAAGAAGGGTACATTTAAACTATTCGTAATCGGGGGCAAGCGTGTGATGTAGTTTATTTTGAACTCCTTGTGTATCTATGAATAAACTTTGACCCACGAGGTCAAACGTAAAATGTTGACCACGTTTTTAATGTGATGCAGCTCACCATTTTCCTTTCCTATATAAACCCAACAATCAGAATCCTCGTCTTCTTACATTCTCAACTGTATTATCAACTGAAATTTTGAAAATTTCCTCTAAGCCGGCACACGTGCAGAGCAACAGGGCAGAGTAAGAATATGGAAGGTTTCTTTCCCGACAAATTTCTGGACGATACTTTCTGTGATGAATCTTTTCAAAATCAGAATGATTTTCTTCAGTTTACAGAGACTGAGACTCGCCAAGAAAGCTTCCATGTCGGATCGAGTTCCCAGAACCCTATTGTCGAAGACGAGCTTTCCGCCGCCGCCGCCGCCCCTCCTCCTGCTCCTGCTGCCGCTAATAAGAGTGATTTTCTTCAGTATAGTGACTGTCTCAGAGCTGTGTTCGGGCAAGAAAGTTCTCAGAATGTGTTGAATTCAAATGAAGTTGCTTTTGTTCCATACAATGACGTACCAGGAACGGGATCGGAATCGGGGCAAGAAAATTCACGTGGCATTAACGCGAAAGATCGTGGCCATGGAGCTTCTCCTGCTGGGAATCGAAGTGATTTTGTTCAATACAGAGAGCTACCCAGAACAGAGTATAGTCAGGGAAGTTCAGATGTTATGAACATGAGAAGGAGGATGATTGATTACTTGAACAGTTGTCCTGCAGAGAGAGGCAACATGGCAGAGTACGAAAGAGAACGAGGTTTCAGGCACATGATTAACGAGAGAATGAGAAGGCAGAGACAGAGGCAGTGTTGCTTGGCCTTGCATTCTATATTACCATTTGGAACCAAGGTAATCAAACTTCTCAATCCCTTTTCTGACCGATCAAAAATTTCTGATATGCTAGCTGTTTCTCTGTTTCTTTCTGGGCAGAACGACGTTAATTCGGTGGTTCAAATGGCAGCGAAGGAGATCCAGAAGCTACAAGCTTGCAGGGATGAATTGAAGAAGCAAAATGCAGAGCTTGAAGAAAAACTTAACAGTGAACAAGGCAACAGAGTTGAGTTGAGGCTGGCTCATTCCACGTCTCCAATAGATTCAGTGCTTGAGACTCTTCAATTATTGACGGATCTTGGGATGAATACCAGAAGCATCACCTCAAATTTCTCTCATCAGGAATTGTTTGCCTTGTTAGAGATGCATGCTAATAAGGTATCTGTCCCCATCCCTGCCTTTCCTTTTTAGACATTTTTAGAATCATCACTCTGCAAAACACTAAATTTGCGGTTCATCACACATTACAAATCAATTAATAAATGTCTTGGATATGAAATTTGTTCATCTCTTGCATATAAAACAGGATTATAATTCATCAGGTGGAATTCTATTCAAAAGTTTGCGGATTTGTTTGAGTGATGGTGTTCAGTTTGCCACGAATCTTAGTCCTAACTTAGCGAATTATATTGATTTTTCACTGAACTTATTATCATAATTACATGATAGTCTACTTGTTGGACTTTTTATGATTTTATCTGATTGGTAATTATATTTTTTAATAATAAACTTAGTCAAAGATTGAAGAAGTTCTATGCCATTCATCTACTAACTAGGTCAAATTTTGTGTGTTATTTCTTGTGTATTGAAAAAGAGCCACATTATTGATGATTTGGTAAGAGTGTGACTAGTTGTAAATTTTTTGTCTTATATTAATATTGACATTCATTAACAAAATAAATTAAAATCATATGATACACCTTAAACATCATTTTATTTATATACAAATACCATAATAAATATTATATCACGAGTATCATTCTCACACATCTCTTCATTTATATGATATTTTATTATATACGATTTAACGAAAAAAATATGATCTTTGTTTAATTAGGATGGACCTCGTGTATTTTCATGAAGTTTGAGATAAGCTACTAGTAACTTGCTGCACTTTCTGTAGTAGTATTTCAGATAGGTTAATTATTTAATAAAAAAATTGTAAATACTGAGACATCATAATAGTGTTTGGTATTGTATTCCAAGTGACTTTTATTGATCCATTATTATTATTTTCGTCAATCTTAGAATACTTTTACTGTTTTACCTGTGTTTTCATTTAATTGAAATAATGCTAATGAAGTCATTTTCACTGTGGAAAGATGGGAGGAGCCGAAGTAGAAAGGGGAAATGAGGATGCGGAGAACGAAAATGAATGGAAGCTTCCTTCTCATGACCGAGAAATTCTCAAAAGGCAGCGACTCTGAATGGAATCACAATTCACAACTGACACTGACATCAAATTTTGTAAATTACACCTACTACTTAGTCATTGAAAGACATGAAACTGATGAAAGGGTCATTTCACTTCCACATTTGTGACTTTATGTGTACAGTCATTTAATTTCAACCTTTTGACTGAGATTTAACCAAGTATCCTCTTTTTGGGCCCATATGTTGTAATTTGGCAATGAAAAATAGAGAAAAAAAAGAGGAGAAGATAGAATAATGGAGGACCCCCTCATTGCCATTTATTCTATCTCCTAATTTTTGAACATCTTTGCAAACATTTGAAAGTTGGAAGGTAAATTTATTTAATCTCCTGTGTATGTTCGGTCGTTCACATATTTGAAGGTAAATTAATCTTTTTTAATTGTAAAACTAAAATGGTTCAAATTTGTCACCATCTTTCCCCGTAGGTGAGTTTCAGCAAAACTTGAATGAATTCCTGACATTGTAGAGATCGTTCAACAGCAGAGCTCGAACATGCCTCATAACTTCATCCACTTCATACAAATGGCGTAATTTACATGTCGAAACATAAAGCGACTGGGAAGAGGAACATCGATCATGAAAGTGACTGAACAATTCTATTTTCGTTTTTCAATTTCGTATAAAGAGAACATTAGCCAAAAAAAGGTCAAAACTTGTAATCTGCATATCTATAGGCCCCAACTTAAACAAATGCCCCAAAACCTAACATTCTTTTCTTTTTGATCTTTTCTATCATATCTTCTTCAGATGGAATGCCGTCCCCAGATTTTGAGCTCGTGCTCCACCAAGCTATGATTTCTTCCTGTACAATGGGAGAAAATATCACTGGGCTAAGTATGCATCCAAATCAATTATTAGAAAACCATTATCTACTTCTTAAAGGCCTCTATCTTGGCTTATTCCTCCTCTAAACTACTTAGTCTTTCATTGTGACTTGCCTTCGGCGAAATGCGTCAATCTAATCGATAAGAAGTAAAATCATCCCATCCAGCACAGTTTATAAGGTCTATAAATTATTACATGGTGAACTAGAAGAAAAGTAAACACTACTGGCACAGAGAATTACCTCAAGGAATTCTTGATTTGAAATATACCGACTTTCAACCATACAGTTGATCCCCCCTACACTCACATAGACAGATATTCTGGTATCATGCGGCGAATTCTGTTTGTGTGCCTCTGTAAATGCAACAAAAGCAAATAAAGTAAAGGGAACGAAACCGAGGAAACATTTCAAGGGTTTCCATAATTTAATCCAAAGATGTCCCAATAATAAAAAGCACATCAAGTTGTACCATTTATAGAGGCCACATAGTATCCAGTTCCCCCTAGACCTTCTTCCCACTTCCCTAGCCGCAACCGTAAGTAAAAGCCATTAAGGTGTGATAGTGACATATGAGAATTAACCCATCTGGAAGTAAAGGACATCATGTCAAGTAATATTTGAGGTTGAATGTTGGAAAAAAAATACAAGTTTAAGAAATGTAAACATGACGCGTCCTCTGATTATATAAACTTTTCGAAAAATTTACAATGATAGTTTGGAAAGCAGAACACATAGTTATCCTCTTCAAATTATATCGTATATTTGCTGTCATTAAGAATTCCAAGTCTGAGAAGAATTCTCAGTGAAAGACGTGAGTTTTCTTGGTAAAGAAAATTATATCAGCATAGATAATCTTTCAGTCAATTGCCGGAGGCATCATCAGTACAAGCATAAAATCATACAGGCATCTTAAAACTCTACTATGCCATGTTAATATTTTCTGGCCGAAGACTAAATTGCACTCCACCCAATTGCTAATTGTATGGTGTTTCTTAGGAAAAAGGTGTTAGGGATGATCAGATGAGATCAATCCAAACCATGCTGCTGTAGAATAAGACTATCATATTTCCCTCTGAAACAGGTTTTCTAATGTCTGAAGTTGAACTATTTGGCTCCTTAATCTACATTTAAAAACTGTCATAAATTACTTATCCTTTATGCAATAAACAAGGACCATAGCATCATATAAATTTCATAAGCTACTTGGCATGCATTACTTACTTCAGGATATCAGTGCGGGATAAACGAAGTTTTTTCACTGCAGCAAAGATTTTTTCAGGTACATCTGAGATTTTTCTTTCTACAAAGAAAGATGGAGGTCCCATAGAACCAAAGTATTTCTTGATTGATACATTAGACCACATCTTATCAGAGGTCATAACTTCATTTAGTTTCCTCTTCAAGTTAAGAGTTTTCTTTGGTGGGGGATCGGTTTCATCATTCTTAGGACAACCAGATATAAATTGGCCACCCTCATCATCCGTAGGCAACCTGGGTATCTCTCTATTGCCTTCAGTACACTGTATTCTATTGGGGCTACAGTCATTAACCAAAGCATGAAATCCTAATTTGTGTTTCCCTTTTGATATGGAGGCGGGACATGAAATAGCCCAGTGATTGGGCCGAAAGCACTTAATGCAGAAACAAGGCAGTCCCTTCAATCCTACATGTGAATTCACTTTCTTTAGGAGATCTGGCCGTTCAGTTTCAGAGATCTCTGAACAGTGACAAAGTTGATGACCTTTAGTTCCACAAAACAAACAAGTCATCTTTCCCTTGCTGGCTTTATCTGTTCCATTTGATGATACGATATATTTGATGGCATCCAATCTCCTTTCTGGCTCTGAATTTCTGAATCTTTGGGAAGGCCACAATGGATTGAATTGATGCATTGAACTATCATTAACCTGATCATCCATAGTACCACTGGAAGCCTCTTTATCGATTGAATGATCATGTAATCCTTTAGCCTCATCAGCAGATTGCTCTCTATGATTTTCTTCAACCTTGCACTTGTTTAGATGAGCAGTGTGCTTATGGGAATGGGGAAGCCTTGAACAATCACTGGATTCTGACTGAGTCCCACCATTCCGTATGAGGTGATCAGAGATTTTTAGGGGGGCAACTGGTCTTGGGAAAAATCTACTTATCCACTGAGTCCCCAGAGTATCACTTCTGTAACAGCTATTGTTTACTTCCTTCCTCCCGGACGGTGCAGAGGAATCAAGGTATTCGGTATTATTTTTTTGTCCGCCTAAGGATGAACTTGATGTTTTTCCTTCTCTCTCCTTACTAGGGCCTAAGTTTGAACCATCTTTATTATCCATCAAATAGTTTTTGCTGCATTCATGAGAGTCAGCAAAATTTACAGGCTCATTCTTAGGATGGGATGATGGGCCAGCTACATATCTCCGCCTAGATCTTTCAACTTCATCCAAATTCAAATATTGTCTGAAAGGGGTATCACGCTCCGCATGACAGGTTATTGCACTAGCGTCTATTCCATGTACCTTGTTTTTTTTATCAAAATTTTTAGAACCCTCTTCTAAACGCTTCAAGCTTGGAGAATACATGGACTCAAAAATGAATTGAAAGCCCGTATTTTTTGGCTCTGGATTTTGATTTCTGTTGAATGTGATAAGTTTCTGATCAGGCCATTGATGAGCGTGATCTGGATATGCAGATGCATCAGCCCAGCAGTTTCTTGCTTCTTGAATTGATAGTGAAAATCCTTTCATCATGTTAGATATCCAATTCATGAAGGAGCTATCCTGTTTAACAAGGGAATTGGATGAAACTTCTTGTGTTTGCTTTTTGATTCTTCTACTCTCAACCAGCAACTGCTGTTGGAAGTCCAATCTCTTACCCGTGGAAAACTGCCCACTACTGTTACAGCTTTCAACACTCTCATGGCCTTCTTCCTCCTCCTTTGATGAAAACTTCATGTTAATATCCCCATTAGATAATGCCTTCTCCCTGTGTTTCCTCCAAGACAGACGACGTTTTCGATTGATAGGTGAATGCAAAACTGGAAGATTCTTGTCATCCTGAGATTCGTCTACAATCTCATTAGATTTTGAAACCAGAGCTCTGCTTGTTGCACCACAGACAGCTTCACAGTTGAAAGCTTGCAAATCACTCTTAGCAGTTGATTCCAGTTTTTTGAAACGACTTCCGGTGGGAGAAGTTAATTTAGTTCCGGGAGCACCAAGACTTTTATATTCAATTATTGGATAAACCTTGGCGGATGAAGCATCGTCTGTTTCAAAGGCTTGATTTTTAACGCCTATATCTCCACCTCCACTAGTCTGATCTCTCGATAGTGGATTTTGCCCAATGCTAGGTTCATGTTCATCTGCCTGTGGTATTAAATTATCAACCTGCATTCGGTCAACATGACCTGCAAGAAAATCATGACATGGGAAAAAAAAAAATTTAAGGCACAAAAAGAAGAACTTTCAATTTTTTTTTTCCGTTGGACAAAAGGATATAATTTCATTATTATCCCTCTTTAAACATAATGAAATAATTTAATGACTAGGAATCTACGCTCTTAGAGAGAACACCTACAGAAATTATTGGGAATTTTTTTCCTGTTATTGATACATAAATTTGTTACAAGTACCTATAGTCAAAATGCTCTTAGCATGATAAAGAAAATGTCCTCAAACTAGAGAAATGATGAGGACAGCATTTACCAGATGTAGTAGAAACTTGGTCAATGTTTTCTTCAGTTATTTGAGTAGTTCCAGCATTTACTTGATCGCAAGAATTCCTTTCTGTAGAGCTCATTTCTTCCATATTACCTTTACATCCTGCCAGCCCAGATTTTCGTGGAAATAAGAAAATAGTAACTAGCAGAAAAGTAAACAGACTGGTAGAAGCTGTTTTATTAATTCACTAATCAGGATAACCGGCTTTTTTCCTTTTCCATCTGTATTGTCTGTTTGAACCAAAGATCTACTACTAACCTGTCTTTCATACACATAATGGAGACAGGGGATTTGAAGATTAAACTCTTACCTGTATCTTGTTCTTCATATTCTTTACACTCAGGCTTGACACCTGAATCACTTGTGAAATCCTTAGGAGGAATATCATTACCAGAAATATCGCTTTTTATGCACACAGCAGCTATAGGTTTCGCGAAAACATCATCTATTGGTTTATCAGTGGCAGATGTCACGCCAACAACGCTGTCTGGCATAGTGAGAAAAAAATTGCTTGGTCCAACATCCCAAAAAAGGGATGTCTTCTTATCAGAAAAGCTTGAAT